CTAGAGCTAGTATCAAGAATCAGGAGCAACAGGTCTCTCAACTTGCCACATATGTGGGTCAAATGGAATCTCAAGGAAAGTTACCAGGGCACACTAAAAATAATCTGAAGCACAATGTGAGTGTTATTTCCTTGAGAAGAAGAAAAAGTTATGAAGGCCCAAGTGTATCTGAACTAGAAAAAGAAGATGAAGAATATTACGAAGAAATGTTGGTTGAAGAAGATGCTGAAGAAGATAAAAGAACAGAAACTCCACAACTAGTGAAGCCAAATCTGAAGGAGTACAAGCCCCTACCTCCTTTTCCATCAAGATTAAGAAGCAAGAGCGAGAGGACGAAGATATTATGGAATTTTTTCGTAAGGTTGAGGTAAATCTTCCAGTTTTGGATGTTATCCATCACATCCCTCGTTATGCCAAGTTTTTGAAACATTTATGTGTTTCTAGGAAAAAAAATGAAAATTAATGAAACTATCAAAGCTGACAAAAATATTTCTGCCATTTTGCAAAAAGGTTTGCTCCCAAAGTGCAAGGATCCGAGGATTTTTTTCGGTTCGTTGTAAATTGGGAAACCTTACTTTTTCAAATGTCATGCTTTACCTTGGTGCCTCAGTCAATGTCATTCCCTTTTCTATTTTTGAAAAATTAAAATTGGGAACTTTACAAAAGACCGGGACACTCATTTTGTTGGCAGATCACTCGACACTACACCCAAAAGGTGTATTGGAGGATGTTCTCGTCCAAATGGGTGAGCTTATTTTTCCCGTTGATTTTTATATTTTGGACATGGGTGATTTAGACATATCAGATAAAAACTCAATTATTTTGGGACGACCTTTTCTGAAAACTGCAAAAATGAAAATTGATGTTTTTGCTGGTATGCTCTTTATGGAATTTGAGGGGGATGTGACGAATTTTTAAATAAATGATTCTGATACTTCTAATATTATTTATGTTAATTATCTGGGTACCAGCAGTTCTTTATTTGAGGGCTACTATGAGTTTTCTAATGTTTCCATTCGAGATCTATTTTTAGATAGGAAATCAGATGATGATACATTAATGGAGCTGAACAGAAATAAGCTTGAGAAGGTGAAGGAAGATATAATTTTTGTTGAAGGGGCTGACATAAAGTTGACTAAAAAGGATAAGCTTAGGGAGGAAGAAAAGAAGATTTCTAGAAAAATGATTAAAGAAAAAGTGACGATTTCTGCTGAGTAGAATTTGAAAAAGAAAAAATAGACAAAGGAGAAGATTTCTGGAAAGAAGAAGATAAGAAAAAGAAAGAAGTTTAAAACTCTAAAAAACTTATCTGAAGAAAATATGAAGTCTTTTTAGTGTGTTGTGTAAGTTCCAGATCCACCAATCTTGCCATATCTGAAGGGATCTGGAGTAACGAGGAAACGAGTTGAGCTTCATAGAAGTCCCAACCACACCAGTTAATAAATATGGTTGGGAAAAGTCGAGCCAACGACTTTAAAAATGGGCAGCTTTTCGGGAGGCAACCCAATGAGTAGTTTTTAGTTTTTTTTTTATGTTTTCAATAAAGAAATGCTTGCACTTCCAAGCAAGCTTAGGGAAATCAAAGGATCTTCAAAGTTGCTGAAATTCAGATTTTTTGCCAACATCACCATCAAAATCGGGACTTTCTACAAACTTATCAGGTACATTCTTTCCTAGTTGCACTTTTTTTTGAATTTTATATGCTTTATTGATATGTTCATTCCTCTGTGAGTATTGAGGACAATGCATCATTTTAAGTTTGGGGAGAGGGTTAGTATAAAAAATTTCATTCTTTTTTAAAATTTCAAAATTTTCAGTTTTTATGTTAAATTTTTTAAATTTATTTTCTACATTGCATTTGCGTATAAAAAATTGAAAAGTCCAAAAAAAATATTTTTGCTTTTTATTTTTCTGCATTCATAATAAAGAAAAAAATCCAAAAAGATTTTATTTCTAGTCATTTTAGTTTTTTTATCTTCTGCTTCAAAAAATTATGAAAAAATATAAAAATAAATTTTTTTACATTAGATGATGATATTATTTAAATTCGATAGTTCTGTAAAAGATGAAGTGTGAAATGAACCGAAAATAACAGTCTCATTACAACCAAGAATTATCTTTTCATATCAGAAAATGCTTTAATGTTTTCGAAATATGAACTAACATAAGAGTCGGATAATTTTTACAATGGAAGTGTGGGATGGAAAAAACGAACAGTGTTTTAGGAATAATTTCCTTAAATGCCTTAGAAAGAACATACATTGAATAACCCCTTTCTTTCCTTGAAGTACTGAACCTCATAGTTTCTGTGCCTTTTGATCCCCATATATAAGTTCATTTGAGACAGACCTAATTTTGTCAAACCGTATGACCAATTTTTTCTAGTGAAATATTCTAGTATTCATGTGTTCGTAAAAATATAATATGTAGAATTTTCTAACATTATATGTTTTAGAATATTTCAATATAAAATGTGTTAACAATATTGTTTTAGAATATTAGTATGTATGTGTGTGTGTGTGTGTATATATATATATATAATATATATATATATATAATATATATATATATAAACAATAGAATATTAGAATATTTCAGTAGAAAAAAGTGATCTCACAGTCTTACAAAAATCAGTTGATCTCAAAGGAACCAGACTATATATATATATATATATATATATATATATATATATATATATATATATATATATATATATATAGAGAGAGAGAGAGAGGAGGGTTCAATTGAGAAAAAAAAGGTTGAGAATGGGGGAATCATTCTCAGCCAATCATTTATTTTTGTCGCAAAAGCCTCCAAGAAATGGGAAAGGAATGCACATGTGTTTTCCAACAAAACATGTTTCCTTAAACTATGCTAAGCATTAACTTAATATATACAAAAACATATTTTTTTCGTTTTTTTTTTAATTTTTAAGAAATTATTTTTATCGAAAAATGATTTTAAATATACCAAAATTCATGATTTTTTATTCTCTACAAATAGACATCCATATTGATATAGTTTTAAGATAAAATAAATTTTTTTTTTTTTTTTTTTTTTCAGCTATCGTTATTCATAAGTGAATAAAATGAATCAGGTTTTTACTACAGTACATTCGTTATTCACTTATGAATAAAAACTATGATTAATTTTTTTTACAATTTAAGTATCATTCAAATATGAATATAGCATATACTAAACATAGTATATTCATATTTAAATATTAGACGATGCATTCACTTGTGAATATTATATAGTATATTCACTTGTGAATGTTAGATGATATATTCACTTATGAATATTAGATGATATTTTCATATGTGAATATTATATAGTATTACATGGTATATCACATGAGAATAGTACATAGTATATTCACTTGTGAATATTAGATCGTATATTCACTTATGATAATAGTTGGTATATTCATATGTGAATATTGCACAGTATATTCATATATGAATATTACAAGGTGTTTTCAGAAATATATATAATTTTTATATGTTATTCACATATGAATAACATACAGACTTGCATATAGTATTACATGGTATATCACATGAGAATAGTACATAGTATATTCACTTGTGAATATTAGATCGTATATTCACTTATGAATAATAGTTGATATATTCATATGTGAATATTGCACAGTATATTCATATCTGAATATTACAAGGTGTTTTCAGAAATATATATAATTTTTATATGTTATTCACACATGAATAACATACAGACTTGCATATTTGTTTTGTGTTTTATAATCACATATTGATTCAGGTGAGAAAACATATTCATATATGAATATAACGTGGTAATTTAGTTTATGCATTTCATCAAACAGTTGGAGTGCATACAAGTTAACTTTTTTAAAAATGTGATAAATATGATACTTTGACTATTTAAATCTTACAAAATAGTAGATTGGTAGAGAAATATATGAAATTTTCAAACAAAAATGATTTGATCTTTTTCTAACCTTAATTCTATGTTTTATTTGATGATCGATGTTGAATGAATGATACGAATTGAATTTTTTGTTGATTATCGATGATGTTGATCTAATGATGCTGGAAGTATAATTAATCATAGATTTTGAAGATATTCTCGTATTCAAACAGAATTGAAGGTTGGATTGAAAGAGCAAAAAACGAATTTTTGTTGTCAACTGTTGAATGGTGTTGATAAACATGTATTAACGAAGATCGATGATTGATTACACAGGATGACGTTGATCGATGATTTAATGAAGAAATCTGGATGATTGTTGAAGGTTGGAGGAGAAATTTGGATGATAACGATCGATTAGAATGAATTTCAACTGTTATCTAATTCTCTACACTTACGCATTTGTGATTGAACGCTATTATATCATATTTACAAGTTTGCCACCGTGTCTTTTTATGCTTAGATTAAATGAGTGGCTGAGAATGATTCCCCCATTCTCACCTTTTTTATTTTCTCAATTGAACCCACCTCTATATATATATAATATATATATATATATATATATATATATATCTATATATATATAATATATATATATATATATAGTAAAATACACCAATCGTCCCTCGTGTATATGCCAAAAAGCTTATTTAGTCCTTATTTTCAAAAATTAACTCGGTTTGTCCCTCATGTTGTTAAAAGTTGCACGTTTCTTCTCTCGTTAGTTTAAATTTGCACGTTTAATACATTTTGCTTTTGCTTTTCAAATCTTTTTAACATTTTTGACATTTTTAATTAAGAAAAATTATTTAGTTGTTTTTGTATCTTGTTGAAGAAGACCTGACCACCACCACCACATGTAATCTACACCACCCTTAGAAAATATAGCGCCATCGCCACCCCTCATTGAAAAATGGAGCACCATAGCCACACCTCACCTCTCATTGAACTAGCAACTTATACTTAAATGACCATCGAACCAGCCACATTTACTGTTAGCACCACCACAAGCCTCCATCGAAAAAACCTACTTGCAAATTAGGAAAGAATAATTAGGGCAAATCGGGAAAGAAGAATGAGGGCATGGCAATTATTAATTCGAAATCAACAAAGGATTTAAGGTTCTTAAAGAAAAAGCAGACGACATTAGAAATGTAGGAGGAGATGAGCGACGATGATGCAAATCTGATTCTGACGTCAAGTATCTCAGGTAAAGCTTCAACGAGACCTTCTATGCAGCCACCAACAACATCTTGTTCCCTGTTGACATCTGTCTATGCCACCACCATCTCAAATAGGTTTGAATAAAAGAATTATATGCCCTTTTCTTCTTTGATTTTAAATGATTCAATATCGACTTCTAAAAACCCCTCTTCTATGTGAGATAAAGAACGCAACATAGGGTGTCGGAACCACTATTTGTGTAATATTGGAGATCTATTTAGGGATTTCGTGTGTGCATTGGTACGAGAGAAGGAGTGAGAAAAAAGGGGGTATCGGAACCACTGTCTGTGTAAGTTCGACGAAGATGGATCCTTCATTGCCACATGTGTGCTCCCATCTACACTCCTCCTGGTGGCCGACGGAGGTGAAAGGGGATGTCGGTGGAGGTCCGACGCCTTGGTTTCAAGAGAGACAGAAGGAAAATATGAAATGGAAGGGAAGGTGTAGGGTTGAGCGTGTTCTTGTGGGGGGAGGGGCGATATTTATTTTATTTTCATTTCTTTTTTAATTCTAAAAAATGATAAACATATTGTTGGGGGTGCAAAGCTCTTCATTGGATGGTGACTTAGAAGACTTTTCCCTAATCGATATCGAAGGCTTCTTATGTGGAAGGCCTTATAGGTTGAACTAGCCTATAAATACTAGTCCTACTATTCATTGTAGGTTGAGAGAGCTCCCATTGTATATACGAGTAGTTTAGTCAAGAGAGTGAGTATTGTAGTTAAGGAAGCAAATGCTTCTACAAATTTTGTACTACTCTATTATCTATACATCTTGTGTTTAAACGTTAATTCGTGTCTTTCGATTATGCATGTTCTTAATTTCGCATTTGTCATTTCCATGGGATCCCACTCATATAATAAAAATATAAAAAAGAAATTATTAATGGCAAAATAGTCATTTTATGTCTTCTGGGACTGTTAGATTGAAAAAACAAGGACGATCCGAGTTAATTTTTAAAAATAGTGACTAAACATGCTTTTTGGCACATGTACGAGAGACGATTGGTGTAATTTACTCATATATATATATATATATATAATATATATATATATATATATATATATCTATATATATATATATATATATATATATCATAGTTCAGGCAAAACCTTGAGAGACGGGGGTGGGGGTCGGGGTGAGTATTTGGACATCTAGACCGGACCAAATCGAGAACCAGGCTTGGACCTTGTATGCCTAATAGGCCAGATCCAATGTTCACCAATTTCTGCAAAACAGGTCCGGTCCGAGAGCCGGTCCAGTTCGGTCCGATACAAATGCTCACTTATACGTCCAAGAGCCGGGAACCAGACCTTGTAAGCCGAAACAGGTCTGATCCAAAGTCCACCAAATTCTGTAAAAGCGAGTTCAATCGGGCCGACCAGCTCTTGGACCAGACATGTTTTATAGAAATTGTTGGACCATGTACCGAAACTATTGAGGGTTCCCATGTCTAGGTCCAGGTCGGGTTCCTGGATCTGTTTGAGGGTTAAATGTTCACCCCTACACTAGGTTAGTGATAAAAGTAGAAAAAAATTCTCATTTTCATTGCTCATTCTACACATATAACTTCTTTATTTAATCATCCTTAATTAGTATGAAATCTAGCTACAAAATTTAATATACACAAAGTTAACATAAACGACTATAAAGAAGCATTGGGATACTCTTAAAGGCTAAACATAAATGTTATGGCTAAATCAGTGTCATCGATAGGTTGTAACAGTAAGAACAGGTAATAGTTCGTTATAAAATTCCTTGGATGAACTATTGGAATTCGTATTAAATTGTTGCATCATTAGAAGGAGAACCTAAACTACTTTCGGTGTCATAAAGAAAATTTCCTTACATGAAGTCATGTTTGTAGAAGACATCAAGCCACTAATGAATGAATCAACGCATTTAAAAGGAACCAACAAAAACATTCCTTACCATGTTGAAGGGAAACTTGCCAAAAATTGCGGTAAATCCTCTCGATGACTACAAAAGAAATCATATTTAATTGCATAAAAATCACTAAATGTAATTGCATAAAATTTAGCTAAACAATCAATGACAATTATGGTACATACAATCATGCTAGACAATGTTAAGCTTGTTAGTCAGTATTTTCCCATAAGCTAGCAATTATGATTCTCACGGAACAGGAGGGACCATGGGCCGAGATAAGCTAAAGTATAGTACAATATTTACAAATAGGCATATGACTAAACAACGATGACATGTTATCACCCAAAAACACTATAATCTAAGGCCTGACGTCGAGTGGTTGGCTATCCATCCGGTTCGACGTATAAATAGGTTGTGAGAGTCAATGAGGGAGAAACATACAAATAGAGGGCTTGATCTAGAGTTCCTTTAATATAATGGAGAATACACTTTAAAGCATGAAATTTGTTAGCTATGGAAACTTATCATTAGATCTGAATTTCTTTTGGGCGGGCCAACTTTTTGGGCTTTTATTTTTGTTTTTTCAATTGGGATTGGTCTTTTAGTTGTATAGGCCAAATCTTGTTGTCTATATCTTTATGAACGGCCGTATTTGTAACATTATAGAGTAAAAGCGTGTGGGGAATAAAATCTCTCTCTCTCTCTCTCACGACAGTGGACGTGGCCTATCGCAAGATAGTATCAACCACTTAAATCCATTTGTTTTGTGTGCTTTGATTTTGTTTCTACTTTCTCGTATTTCTCAGATCTATTTTTCGTTTATCGTTGTTTTTTACCTAACAATTGGTATTAGAGCTATGGCTGAAGACGGGAAGGTGAAGATCGATAAATATGAAGGCCATGATTTTGGATTCTGGAAGATGCAGATTGAGGATTACATATATCATAAGAAATTACACTACCGTTATCCGAAAATAAACCTGAGAAGATAGATCTGCAGAATGGAACTTGCTGGATCGAAAAGCCCTTGGCGTTGTCAGACTATCACTGGAGAAGAATTTCATGTATAACATCGTCAATGAAAAGACCACATTTGGATTGATAAAGGCATTGTCCAACATGTATGAAAAGCCATCCGAATCAAACAAGGTTTTCTTGATCATACAATTTGTAAACACGAATATAAAGGAAGGAGCATCTGCGACATACCACATCAACGAGTTTAGCTCGATAATATCTAGGTTAGGATCTGTTGAAATTAATTTCAACGACGAAGTCCAGGATTTATTATTATTATCTTCATTGCCTGAAAGCTAGGTTGGAAGTATTACTACAGTCAAGAAGAAGAAAATAAATCATCTTCCGGAACTGTAATTAAATAGGACATTTCAGAAATAAATGTCCTAAACCTTTGGCATATAATGGCAAGAATGAGATAAATGTGCCTGAATACTACGATGATGCACTAATTTTTTGTGTAGAAAATTCAGTCGAGTCTTGGGTGATGGATTCAGGAGCAAAATTTCACGCTTTCCACAACAAATAAATCATGAAGTTTTCTCTACTTTTAAAAGGTTCAAAGCTTCTATGGAGAACGATACAAATATGAAGATAAAATGTCTGACGTCAGATAATGGAGGTGAATACAACAGCAAGGAATTTACCGATTACCATGCAAAACATGGAATCAAAATGATAAAGATTGTGCCAGAAACACCTCAGCAAAACGGTGTTGCGGAGAGGATGGACAAAACATTAAATGAGAGAGGTAAAAGCATGAGGTTATATGCAGGGATGCCAAAAATATTTTGGGCAAACACAGTGAGCACAACTACTTATAAATTGCGGACCCTCAGTCCCCATTAGGTATAAAATTATAGAAAAGGAATGGTGGAAAAGGGAAGTATCTACCTCTCACCTTAAAGTATTTGGTTGTCATGCTTATGTCAAGGTTAAAGATACAGAAAAAGAAAAACTCGAAGCCAATGCTAAGAAGTGTATCTTTATCAGGTACGGGCTAGATGATATGGGCTACAGATGTTGGGATAATCAAACCATGAAAGTGATCAGGAGTAGGGATGTCACTACTAATGAAGATGCCCTATATCAAGATGATCTAGCTGCGGCTCCAATCAAAATAAAACAAAGCTAGAAGACGGTGTTTGAAGAATTGACAGATGTTGATGTTTTACAACCTGAAACAGGTGAAGGCTCACAAAATAGTGGGAGTGTTGAAGAGACAGTAAATACTAAAGTCAGAAGGAGTTCTGAAGAAGATAAAGACTCTGAAACCAAAATTCCAGATCGTTAAGAAATCGAACCCCCAAATCAGACAGATGCTGAAACTCCTAATCTCATAAGATCGACCAGAGATCGGAAAACCACTAGCAAATAATTTCTATCAGTTAATTATATGTTACTGACAGAGAATGGAGAGCCGGAGTCTGATCCAGAGGTGATGAAACTGAAAGAATCTATAAAATGGAAGAAATCCATGAAGGATGATTTGGACTCACTTGACAAGAACCATACCTAGCCCTTGGTCAAATTACCAACATGAAAGAGAGCTTTGTAAAATAAATGGGTGTTCAGAATCAAGGATGAAGTTGATGGCAACAAGAGGTATAAAGCCAGACTAGTTGTAAAGGATTTCCAACAATAAAAGGGGTTGCTTACAATGAGATTTTTCTCACCAGTTGTGAAGATGACTACTATTCGACTGGTCTTGAGTATTTTAGCTGCTGAAAGTTTACATATGGAACAACTAGATGTTAAGATTGCATTCTTACATGGTGACCTTGAGGAAGACATTTACATGTCCCAACCAGATGATTTTCCTGGTGAATGGTAAGGAGAATCTGGTATGTAAATTGAAGAGTGTATATGGACTGAAACAAGCCCCAAGGAAGTGGTATTTAAAATTCGACAACTTCATGTAGAAAAATGTGTACAAGAGATGCGAGATGGACCATTGTTGTTATCTGAAGAAGTTTAGGTCCTCTTACATTATTATTTTATTATATGTTAATGATATGTTGGTTATTGGATCAGAAATAGAGGGAATCAACATACTGAAGCAACACTTCTCCAGAGAGTTCGAGATGAAGGGCTTGAGCAGCCAAACAAATTCTCGGGATATGCATAGTCAGAGACAGATTTGCTGGAACTTTGAAGCTTTCAAATCAGAAGTATACCAAAAAGATTCTATAGAATTTCAACATGACTGATGCAAAACCAAGAACTACACCTTTGGGAAGTCAGACAAAACTTTCCAAGAAACAATCCCCAAAGAAGGATGAAGACTAAGAAGAAATGGACAAAATCATGTATACATCAGTAGTTGGCAGTTTGATGTATGTTATGGTGTGCACTAGACCGAGCATTACACATGCAGTGGGAGTTGCGAGTAGATTTATGTCAAATTTGGGTAAAGAGCATTAGGAAGGGATCAAGTGGATGTTGTGTTACTTGAAAGGTACTTCTGAATTCGCTCTATGTTTCAGCAAAAATAAAGTGGTTTGGAAGGATTCACTGATGCTGATTTAAGGGGATGTGCAAATTCGGGAAAAACCACTAATGTGTATGTGTTCACTATCGGAGATACAACATTGAGTTGGATGTCCGGACTTCAGAAAAATGTTGCTCTTTCAACTACAAAGGCAGAATATATAGCCATTGCAGAAGCAACAAAGAGTTGATATGATTGAAGAATTTTCTGTCAAAGCTGGGAATAAAACAAGAAGACTATGTTCTCCACTGTGAAAATCAAAGTCCAGTACATCTCGTGAAAAATCCGATGTTTCACAGTCGAACGAAACACATAAAGACGCGATATTATTTCATACGAGAACGTATAACTGATGGTACACTAAATCGGAAGAAAATCCTTGGTACGAAGAATCCAGCTCATATGTTTACTAAGGTGGTACCAACTGATAATTGATGTTGTGCATCGCTTCAACTGGAATTCCAGGAACTTGAAGAGGAATCAGAGACAAGAGAGAGAGAGAGATACGAGTGTTATAGAGGATACATACTTGGTTGGTAGCTAAATGATGATCAAGCCTCTAAGTGGGAGATTGTTAGATATGGAGACTTATCATCATATCTGAATTTTTTTGGGCGGGCCAAGTTTTTTTTGGGCTTTTTTTGGTTTTTTTCAATTGGGCTTGACCTTTTAGATGTTTAGGTCAAATCTTGTCGTTTGTATATTTATGAATGGTCGTATCTATAACATTGTAGCAGGAAAGCATGTGTGGAATAAAATGCCTCTCACTGGTTCAATAGTGATTTGATTTCGTGTTCTATGTGATTTGATTTCGTTTCTGATGTCTCGTAATTCTCATACCTGTTTTTCATTTATCGTTGTTCTTTACCTAACAAAAGTGCTACTCACAAGGTTTGTGCATGTAGAGACACACCTACTAGATTGTAAAATAGAAATCAGAGTGAATGAAGGTCAGGTACTAAGTGCCCCCTCAAGACTACAGTAAAGACCCGTGTCATCAACTTGCGTATAACATGGTTGTTGGTAGCAAGCTTGGTGTTAATATTCACATGTACTTTGACGGGATAGCACTTAGACAAGGGGAAACATTTGAGAATCTCAATGACATACTTCTTTTGTGGAAGAAACATGCATTTAGATACACTTGACAAAACAGTTATCGCCGTTAACCTAGCTAATTAAGACAAAATATAGAAACTACGGATAAACACAAAAAAGAACCTCGAGTTATATGGGAATACCCGGAACATATCCCAATGAATACGAAAAGCATAGCTGAAAATACACTTGACAAAACAGTTATCGCCGTTAGAGGTAGCCACTTTAATGAGTATATTAGTGAAAATGATTGTCTCCATGCATGTAAATTCCAACAACAGAAATGATTGTTTGCATGCTTGAAAAGAGGCCCATATTTGATAGTGGATGCTTGTGATTGAATTGATTACATGTTTAGGATTACTAACCAGGGTGGAAGCAGCTCAACATATGTTTGGCGACATCTTCCCTCTTATGTGTTTCTTGGTTCTCAATATCTGTAAACTCACGTCCTTCGATTAAGCCACAATTCTCTATGGGTACATCTTCAAAAACATAATATTATTAATTAGAACATATGATAAATGTATGTCACTTACAAAGCGAGCAAGAAATAAAGGTAAAACAAAAAATAATTTTCTAATAAAACAGCCTAAGGGCATCCATAATGGTGAGTTTAATGAGAGAGTTGAATGAAGTGACAAGTCTATATGTCATTCAATGGATGAAACTCTACCATTGTGAGATACCATTTGACATTCAATGGATTTCGAGTTCAATGGTGATTGAACTCTTCAATGGGAAAAAAACAAAGTTTTTAATTCTTAAATATTTACTATAAATTACATTTTGTAACATTCTATTGAACTTTATAGAGTTCAATGCATTGTAAGAAAAAAAAGATAGAATTGTATGGATTGTAGAAAAATGATGTGGCAATCCATTGAACTCTATGGAGTTCAATGCATCGTGGATGTCCTAAATTTAAATGCTTTAGTAGTTTTGGTAAAGTTGGGATGGAATTTTATGAGAAATAATTATTTCGGTAGACAAATCAACTAACATTGGATCTTAAATCAGCTTAACTGTGATCCATTTGGGTTAATTACCCTGAACCATCAAATAGGTTGGATCATTGATTAATTAGATCATGATCCATATTAGGTGACAACACATAATTAAAACCATACAACTAGTTATGTTGGCCTAAACTAAGATACATGTGCCCTTCAATCAAAAGGTGGAGGGTTCAAGACACCAGGACAAAGGTGTAAATTTAGGAGTATGATTATAGGGTGCGTGAGTTATCCGTTCTAAAACAAAAAATCTACACGAAAACAATGAAGTAAGAGCAACTACAGAAATTGAGAAACATACGAGAATAAACAAATCTTTGATAAAAGTTGTATGATTTTCCATTAAAATATCCCTTGAACTTTTCAGCAATAAACTTCAATGGAGCTACTTTCCCGTTATTTTCTGTAGCCATTTTGGGGTAGTCCTTTATTAATCCAAATGCAGCCTCTGCAAATGTCATATTCGAAACCAAAATAAATATAAATATGCGCAGAATCTAATTAAAGTTCACTCAATGCATGCATACTTGAATCCTGATTATATATATGGATATATTTGATGTTTCTTGCCATCTCTTAAATATCTAGAAACGTATATATCCACTCTACAAAGGTTTGATATCTGTAGTTTAAAGTCAACTATGTAATAGGCTTTCTAAAAAACTCACCCCAAAGACCTGCAGTGATTACCCTTGTGAGAAGCGTACAACCATTCACGCCCTCAAAGGGATTGTGACATCCTTCTTCTTGGGAGAGACTAATATGACATCTAGTAACATCGAGTAAATATAGAAAAGTTTCTGCGTGAGAACCCATAATAGCTCTAAGGATAGGTAAGTATTTCTTCTTGTCAGGAAGGAATAGCAAATGTTGGTTTTTCTTCACCAACATCTCTGCAGCCCTGGTGTTGCCAACAAACGCAGCGTGGTGCAGTGGGTTCGACTCTCTAATTGTTAGCAGGGTTGGGAGTGAGGCCGGGGTTATCACCTCCAGTAATTTCTCAACAAAGTGGATATTTTGACATGTACCAATTGCAACATGGAGTGGGCTTTCGTTATCGTCGTTGAGTTTACACATCAACGCATCTCTGTCCACGATGAAAAAATGTTGGGCTTTCTTCCAGTCGCCATCTAGAGTAGCTCTATATAGTGGTAAGTACTTTGCCTGATCTATTTCCATTAAAAAATAAATAAATAAATTCAACAGCTCACCGACAAATTTGGAATAAATTAAATAAAGAAAGAATACGAACGATAGTATCCCCATACCAATTTCTCTTAGAGAAAATTAGTTCTAAAAACACCTTTAAGTATTACATGTTCAAAAAACACTATCAAACTAAGATACATGTTCAAAAATCACCAACGAAATACATATTATGTTCAAAAAACACCATCTTTATGGTTTGGGGTATCTTATGCCTTTAGGTCCTAACTCTTTTCCTTAACTCAAATGGTTCATAGTTTTTATATTTATTTTGCCTTTGGACCCTATCAAGTTGAAAGACTAATATACCTTTATGAATTTCATTTAACATTTATTTTTATTACTTGTTAATTATTTATACAATTGATATATTTATAATAAATAACAATATTAATTGTATAAATAATTAATAAATAATAAAAAATAATGTTAAATGGAAGTATATAAGAGTATATTAGTCTTTTAACTTGATCAGGGTCCGAATCCGAAGTCAAAACAAATTTAATCTATAATGATTATCTGAGTTAAAAAAAAATTAGAGACTAAAAATGTAAGCAACCCCAAACCATACACATGGTGTTTTGTGAATATAACATGTACACATCTACTTTGTTGGTGTTTTTTGAACAAATATCTTAGTTTGAAGATGGTTTTTGAACATATAATACTTGAATGGTTCATTTTTAAAAGAATTTGAAATTTTGATGGTGTTTTAAGTCATTTTCCCTTTGACTTACTAGGGTTGATCATGGGAGCAGCCGGAGGAGTACTATAAGTAGTCTTTAGCTTTGTCCATACATCATTAGCTGTGGAAAGGCCGATAACAATATCCATCACATCTTCACATAGTGAACCAAATATCCATGCTTTCACAAGTGCGTCCGACCTTTTCCATGACCAATCACTTGCAGTCCTATCCTCCAACTTTTTAGAGCTGCCATCGATATTCTGCACCGGGTGTTTCAATTTGCCATCGACGAAACCGTACATATCATTGGTCTTCAGAAGGCATTCCATGTCTTCCAGCCACTGACTATAATTGCTTTTACCAGACAGCTTGATAAAAGCAAAGTTGGCTACATTGACGTCAGAAGGGTACGGATACTCTACTGGTGACCCTGCTATGTATCAAATAAAATTAATATATATATATATATATATATATATATATATATATATATATATATATATTAATTTAAGTGTAATTTAAAAAATAAATAAACGAGACATATTAAGTTAATGTAAATGTATATTGGTGCTATACCCTGGTCGACTCTCCCTCTTTTCTTCCTTGGTGGAGATGAGGTGGAGCTGGGCGAGCAGTACTTCACTCCGCTCATGCCTAAAAAAGAAGGAAAGGTAAAATATATATATATGAATATGAGTTCCTTTTGCTTAGAAACGATATATATAAATATATAACCAAGTTCTACCTGCTTCGCAATAGTACATATCATTCAATTATGAGGGATCCACGCGTTTATGGTTGTGGTAATTTATTATGACCGTAAGACTATTAATTGTCGTCGAGACTTCGATTTACTTTATTCGTTGACTTGACAAAAAAAAAAAAAATTTTTATATGCAAAAAACACTAGAAATTAGAAAATTAACGGAAACCAATAAGAATTAGAATTTTCAATCTATAAGCATGGGTGTGTTTGATGTTAACTGTTATGCATTTATTTGTTTATAGTAGGTCTTTTCAGTAACATCCGTGATCTATTTATATCGAGCTAATGCACTATTGAAGAATTTGAAATCAACGAAGGAGTATGCCAAGGAGACCCTCTCTCTCCCCTCCATTTCATAATTGGCTTATAGTATATTTTATAATCTCTTTTATTTTATATTTAATCATTTAATTTATTAAGTTAACTTATAGTATAATATTCTAAACATTAAAAAATATTTAAATCTTAAAAGTATTTTAATACGATGACATATATAACAATCTTTAATTAATAATTTGTAATTTGTAACTTTTAATTTCTAATTAATGTGATATTTCAGTTTTACGTATTAATATTATTTATAAAAATATATAATAAAATGTTGATGTGATAATCCATTGAACTCTTAAGAGTTTAATAGAGTATAGAGTTTAATTGATAAAATGGTATAGTTAGGGGAATGTTGATGTGACAATCCATTGATCTTTTAGGAGTTTAATGAAGTGTAGAATTTAATAGATAAAATGATATAGTTAATGGAATGTTGATGTGACAATCCATTGAACTCTTAAGAGTTAAGTGCATTAGATATGGCCTTAGATCTCTTCTAGTGGACTTCAGTTTCTCCCTGCCAATCGGATGTAGGCTTCCATGCTGTACAATCACTCTACCAAAGGTTAGCTTTCTATTACTATTTTATTATTTTATTTAATTTCTCTTTTTTTTTTCAACCTATCGTCAATCGATAAATGATGCCTACGATGCCACTACTATGTAGTCTTCTTGTCATCTGGTTTATGCCTGGATTTATGTATATTCACAGTTTACTTAAAGGTAACTAACTCACTACTAAAAAGTTTGGTTTTAGCTACTAAATATTTCCTACTAATAAATTTTGTCGGAAATATCCTTCTAATTTCCTACAAACTTGCGACAAAAATGTAATCCAACAAAATTCCAACAAATTACCTACGGAAGTATATACCCTATAGATTCCATCGGAAAAGTATCGGTATTTTCCTACAAAACACCGACGAAACTTTAACTAATATTTAAAAGTACAATTTCATTGAATTTCATAAAAAAATATAATAACCGGAATTTGAAACCTTTTGACAACTTTTGTTTTTTGCTTTTCCCTCCATTATTTGCCTCCCCTCCCCCACCCCCCATTATTTTACATTCATCGTGTTCATATCTTCTTTCTGCTTCAGAGTTTTCGTGAATGGAGTTATTTTTTTTTTCAAGTTCATTTTTTTCATCTATTCTTTCTTAATTTTATTTTTCGCTTCGTGGATGTCGTTGAAGACATTCATTGTTTTCATTATACTGTTTTTATTCTCAGAACCAACATAATGCTGATAAGAAAAACGAAGACATTGAAGATAAAAAGGTTGGTAATGTCAAGGAGTTCAAAGTGAATCAAGTTTTGAAGAAAAAAAAAGAAAATGTGGGATTTGTTTTTGTGTAGTTCATGATAAGAGGAATTGTCCTCATGCATTGGTCAAGAGAGAGTAGAAGTTCAATAATGTTTTCAATTTATACGTATTAACTATTATGGAGTTTTATTTCAGTAAAATAAAAATATGAATTCATGAATTTTAGGGGTTTTTCCTTGTAAGTTTATGTTTCCAATCAATAAATATTAATAATATTTCATGGTTTGATCATTTTTATTGTTTGTTCATTATGTATTTTTATAATCAAACGAGTAATTTTCTTATAGTATCCATATGAGTTTATGGTTTATAGTTGTCTTACAGAATGATCATCTTCAATTGAATGAATTTTGGTGATGATTTATGTGTTATATTTTGTTGTTTATGTTATGCTGACAGAATATTTGTTTTAAATGTATATTCTTTTTTTATTCTTAAAGCATAATTGTGTTAGGCATATTTTTGCTGCAAGATTCTCATAGAACTAATCAAATATACCAAGAGATAGAATAGTCGTGTTTAATAAAATATCTAGAAAACACCATTGTCCAATTTAATAAACCATAAAACTAACCAAATTCTTGTGTTTTTATAAAAACTTGTCCTTAATATCAAAGTTACATATGTTATTGTTGTTTAGCTTATTCTGACAGAATATTGGATTTGTATCTCCATTGTGTTATTAGTCACTGGGTTGTTATTCTTATGCCATAAATGCACAAGTCATATTTCTGTTGCAAGATGCTAATAGAAATAATCATATATAACAAGATATGAAATAATCGTATTTATTAAAATCTGTTGAAGAAACCAATGTATAATATAATGTATTGTAATATTTGAAACTTTTATCTATGGAATATAAATTTGTCAACTAATAACAATATCATGATCAATAATAGGGTGAATCCTTATCTTTACAATGTTTCAAAAAATAATAAAAATTTAATCATTCATAATAATGAGTGCAGATAGCACACCTTTTTGGTTACATATCATACGGTTTCCCCTCTTTTAATATATATATTTTTTGTCTCAAAGTTAATAAGATTTAATTTACAGTTCTATAACTTATTGGTGTTTAATAGGGCTGTTAATTATCTTATGGATGATGAAGTATCAGTTGGTGATGATCATATTCATGATCAACATGAATACCCTATTGATTATGCAGAGGAAGATGAAGATTTCAAGTTATCTGATCATGATTCTCTAAAAAATATCGATTTTGAAATATGCGAAAATAGTAATCTCAACGGAGGTGATTTTTCTATTTTAGTTTGTTTATGATTTAAATTTATAACAAGAATGGTAAACTTGTATATTGTTATTTGCATTAGGGCGAAATTTTAACTTACAAAGGAGAGGATCCATTAAAACACATTCAAAATCATATTGATATCAATTCTGACTATCATTTCGGTGAAACTAGTAATCATAATCAAGGTGAGTTATTTTAATTATGTATTTGTTTTTTATATATATAATTATTCAATTGTAGTAATTCTATAAAAGATGCAGAAAACAAAAACGAGTTCGTCGATGATGAGACAGATGATACAATTGATTTACAGAAAGGTAAGCATACGAATAGCAAACTATTTTAAAACAATTCATTAACTCGTTTCGATTGTTTGCAGTTTGCACATCGATGACATTCATTTGTTTCATTGTATATGTATTTTGTGTTATATAATTTGATGTTTTTCTGATGCAGAACAATCACATGTTACACATGATTACGTTTCTCCTGGTGGCTCACCTTATTGGATTCCTGTTGTTTCTGACGACATCAAACCAAAAATCTACTCAACATTTGATTCATATGGTGCAGCAGTAACAATGTATAAAAACTATGCATTAGAAGCAGGTTTTGATATCAGGCTTGGAACAATTAGAACAACGAAATCAGACATTGTCACACAAAGACATTTGTTATGCAATCGGGAAGGTAAACCAAAATCCGCTAAAGTGGACACTCTAAACCCTCAAAATAATAAGATTCAAAGAAGGAAAGAGTCATTTCAGTCCGAATGCAAAGCAAAAATTGTTTTTATTCTAATATATGGTACTCATAAATATATTGTTGATGATTTTTTTGAACAACATACTCATGAGTTGTTTAGTAAGGACAACATGTTTTTGTCTCGTACAAAGAGGAAACTTGATTATTCTCTGGAGATGTTTATTAATAACCTTTCAAAGCAAAATATTGGTGCGTCAAGAGCACATAGATTGTATACGGGACTTCAGGGTGGGCCTTCCATTCGAGGTGGATTGGTTTCCGATTTCAAGAATAGCACGAGAAATCTTAATTCTTACATAGGTTGTAGGGATGCAAAATTCCTTGTTGTCAAGATGATGGAAAGGAAAAAAATGTCCCAACCTTTTCTTTCCAGTTTAGAGTTGTGCAGAAAAAATTCAATGCGCTTTTTTGGGCTGACGAAACCGCAAAGTATAACTACAATGCTTTTGGAGACGTTGTATCCCTTAATGCCACATTCAGCATGAATAAGTATATTTTACATTTATAATGTTATCACCAACTTTTTTATTATTTCCAATTTTGTAATTATTTTTTGATTTTTAACACAGGTATGATATGGTTTTCGTTTCGTTCACTGCGATAGATAAGCATAAGAAATGTGTAATTGTTGGTGCTGGACTTTTGAGTAAAGAAGATGGTAGTTCTTATTCTTGGTTGCTTAGAGCTTTCTTGAAATCATTTAAAAAACACCCTAAGCTGGTTCTCGCATATCAGGATCCAACTTTAAGCAAAGCTGTAAATGATGTTCTTCCGATATCACAACATAGGTTTTGTATATGACATATTACGAAAAAATTGCCAAATAAGGCGCACAGTTATTTTGTATTTACCAAAATATATTTTATAAATTGATTTTAGTAATACATTTTATTCTTTCTGAATACAATTCTATCAGAATCAATTACCATAATTCTGACAGAATTATAGGATACCAACATAATTCTGACAGAATATATATGCTACCACATTTTATGTTTTACTATCACGGCCTTACTCTTATTATTTAACAATACTCCTTAAATGTCTTTTTCTTCAAATAACATCACAACTAGCTACAAATTCAGATTTTCCAAAATGTTTTCACTCTATAATATGGAATTCTAAGCTGGAACCACAGGCTTTTGAGAAAGCATGGGATTCTTGTTTAGATGAGTTTAAGATTTCAAATAACAAGTGGTTGAAAGAGATGTATGGGTTGCAGAGACGTTGGATCCT